CACAAAGAGCAGGTTTTAGGGTTGAGACCAAAGGATTGTGTTCAGGAAGAATGTTAGCTCAATGTCTAGACATACTGAGTCTGAGGACATCTGTAACAGAGAGACTTACAAAAATGCATCTATAGCTAAGAAGGGAGACCTAGGCTGCAGATGAGATTTATGGTCATAAGCAGAGAGATGGTAACTGAACCCATCAAAGATGAGATCATTCATACAAGTCTTGGAGTGAGAAGGAGGGAGAGACAGAGAGAGAATTCTGAAGACGACAAAGGCAAACTTAGGAAGAGAAGCTCTGAAAATGGGTGATCAGCCAGAGAAGTAATAGCAAAATTAGAAAAAAATATGGTGTTAGGGAAGAAGGCATGGTCAACAATGTCAAAAGTCACAGACTGATAAGAAAGGAAACCAATGGAAAGTCCCTCATTGCATCTGAAAACTAGAAAGCTAATAGTACTTTAGAATAAAAGTTTCAGTGAGGAGGCTGGGGTGATAAGAATGGAGAGACAAATAGTATGGTGTATTCTTTTAAGATTCTGTGTGTACATATGTGTATGCACACATGTGGATGTGTCCATGTAGGCAATAAAGTAAGTGCGGGCTGAGGTGGGATATGAGGGTTGAGATCTGAAAAGACTGGAGCACATTTATATAACAAGGGAAAAGAGTATTAGAGAGAAAGAGGTTGAAGACACAAGAAGAGTGGCGATGAGAGAGTGAGGTCCATGAGGAGGAACGAGGAATTGGGGTACAAACCTAGGACAGGAGGAGGGAAGGTTTTTCTCCCAGGACTTCAGGAAAGGATGAGTGCGAAGAAAAACAAGTTTCCAGGTGGTAGAACATGAAGTTGAATAGCTATTTCCTGATTTTCAAAATTTTTCTCTGCAGAATTGAAGGCAAGATCACATTCTGAGTGAGAGAGGGGGTGGGTGGGGTTCGAGTTATGGTTTAGGCAGGGAAGAACCAGACTAAACGGCAGTGAATTGATGAGGACATGTAGGAGGACATCAAGGCAACAGCAGGCCTGGCTCATACTGGAGTCTACCCAGCATACACACACTAGCCCAAACGTTAGAGAAGCTGAATGACTGATTATTCCAAGGTTGGGCTTTCATAGCATGGGTAAAATTAAAGGCCCACAGAGATTATTTTTTAACAGATAAGAACAGCAAGAAACTTAACAAGTAATAAGATAAGAAAGGAAGTAATATACTACAATAAATGAAAAAGTCAGAACTAAAGATCTTGATGAAGTCAAAGAACTGGAAAGACAGAGTAGCCCTTCAGGTAGCAGTGTTTAAGACTGCACGGGTGAAGATGACTGAAGGCTGAGAGCTGAAGAGGTCTAGGACTATGAGGCAAGTGTTGTATGTTTCCTTCCCAGAGACACGATGTCACCCAGAATGAAGAAGGTACAGGGAGAAGACGAGGGCAAAGAGAAAGATAGTGTATGGCATCCTCAGCACTCCAGCCTTCAGCAAATGTCTGAGAGGAGGCTACAAGACAAGCACTGACTATGAATTCAGGAAAGAATAGATATGAGAGCAATAATGTGATGCATCCGGACAGCACAAGTCTTAGAGGAGATCATTTTAATTTGCAAGCTGGAGAGTAATAGCTTAGACTATGAAACTCTGGCCATGTAGGAAGCAAGAATGAGCAGCCTCCACCGGAGGAAGAAAGAAAGACAGTTAACTTAGGGGAGAGCCAGACTTCAACTAGGATGAAGAAGGGTTGAGAGCATTCAGAGTGGCATGTTCACAGCAGAGTGCAGCTCCTGTGAACACTGGAAATGGTGGCAAGAAAGGCAGCAGAGGGGACCAGGTGGCAGGAGGAGGCACTAGGCAGCATCTCCTCTGAGAAAGAAATGCCTCTTCCTAACACTAGGTACCAAGACAAGGTGAATGCTCTCTTCCTAAGAAGGGGTACAGGGAAAACAGCCCAAGCTAATGACGATGGAGGCGGGCTGGTAAGTACATTGTAAACAGAGGTCTCCTTGCAGCTTTCAACTGGAGATGTCCAACAGGCAGTTGGATATAGAAGTCTAATGCTTAGGAGACAAATCACAAGAGTTTTATTGATTTGTATACTTGAGAGTAATTTAAGTTACAAATGTCTTTTAAAAATGTCTCAGTTCCAATTTTTAAAAGTTCCTCCATTTAGATCAATTTGATAAAACTAATGAGGGAATTCAAATGTAGTTTATCACATCTAATGACTGCAATTACAACAGATACATAAAAAATTAAATGCAACCAGGAGGGAGGGAGGGAGGGAGGGAGAGGTCTGTGGCTATAGAAGGATAGTAGGAGGGATTTTGTGATAGAACTATTCTACTCATCTGTATCCGGACTGTGGTGAAGATCACACAAATCTACACATGTGATAAAACTGCACACACTAAACACATCCACAAATGAGTCCATATAAAACCAGTGAAATCTGGATGGATTGTATCACTGTCGATTTCCTAGTTGTGCTATTATACTATAGTTATGCAAGATTTTTTTCCCCCTGGGGGAAGACTAGCCCTGAGCTAATATCTATTGCCAATCTTGCTCTTTTTTTGCTTGAGGGAGATCAGCCCTGAGCTAACATCCGGGCCAATCTTCCTCCACTTTATATGTGGGTTGCTGCCATAGCACGGCCAATGAGTGATGTAGGCCTGCTCCCGGGAACCGAACCTGGGACCTGGGGCTGCTGAAACAGAGTGCACCAAACTTAACCACTGGTGGCCAGCTCCTAGTAATACAAGATTTTACCAGTGGGGGAAACTGGGTAAAGGGTATAGACAATCTCTGAGTATTATTGCTTACAATCACATGCAAATCCACAATTATCAAAATACAGTTGTTGGTTTCTTTTTTAATTAAAGGCAAGGTGTACGATTGGAAAATACCATCTTCAAAACTCTTAGTAAAGACTAGAGAATCAGTCTCTCTAGCTCAGTGATCCTCAACCAGAAATTTGGAGGTGATGAAGGGGCCCCTAAACATTAGAACTACTGCCTGAACTTCCATTCCATGAACACATACCCACACCAGAATTGTTGCCATGGGAAGCCACAGGTTTCAGAGGAAGTTTGTCATGTCTTCAAGTATGCAACTGAAGGAGAATGAAAAATCACTCTCTCATAGCTACTTAATCTTCACAAACACTTCTAATTCGTAAGGAAAAAACCATGCAAGAGAAACATAACATTTAATAAGTAATGTATAACGAACATGAAATAGTTTAAGAGATAAGTGCTCATTTGATTTGTCTAAAATCAGCCAATACGTTCTTCATGAAAATGTACTTGATCAACATAAGGAAAAACATTCTATTCATATAAGAATAAAAGTACAGATTTTTTCCCCAGTAATTGATAGATGTTCAGTGGTATATCCAAATTCTCCTAACAAGGAGTACATCATCTATAAAGGTATGCACCCTGTGGCCTTGAGTAGAATGAGATTATTCAGCCTATACTGGAAGCCTTGGCACACTAACACTACACCCTTGTCAACTAAAAGAAGGAAACACAAAACAGCAGAAGCCAAAATGCAATAGATTCAATATTTTTTTAAAAGTTCCTACTAACAAGCAGCCCTAAAGAGAATGTCTATGTTTAACCCACTAAAATCAAACATAGGGAAACATTTTGGAGTAGTAAGGCAGCCTGATTTAATACCTCAACAAATGGTATCAATCAGAACAAAACATAAAATGACCTTATGATGAACTCATTTTTAAAACCCTGGTATTACAATTGCACACATAAGTGTGTGTTTGTGTGTGTGTACACATCAGAATCCAAATGTCCAACCGGGCGGAATTGCTATGTAAAAGAATGGCATATCCAAAGCTACTGAAAGACTGTGTTTAGGATAGGCAAACGTTTACAATATACTGCTAAGTAGCTTAAGAGCTACAAATTAGTATGTGCAGGATTCTATTTTGAGTATAAAAGAATATTTGTATATGTTCATACAGAAAAAAATACCAAAAGAAAATAAACCCAATTTTTGTTCTTAAATAATGAGGTTTTTTTCCTTTACACTATTGGGGCCCAGGGCAGGTTGCCCCCAAATATCCCACAACAGCATATTGATTATTTTGAATTAAAGTTACCTGTGTTGACTTAAAGTAAAGTTTGGACCCTCCTTTTTCTGTTCCCCCTCAAGGCAGGAAATAAATCTCCCATGCGAAAGGTACCTTCCCTGCACCAGAGCTAGAGCATTCAGGGCTGAGAACCCTATATAAACACACCTTGTTACTTTTATTAATTTACTACCTTAAGACTGCTAATACTGCTCTAATTCCTCATTAATTACATATTCCAAACCTGTTTTTTTGTCCTGTCAATTCCTTACAAATTTATTATTTCTTTATGTAAAAGATATAAAAGCAGCCTGCTTTGCCCATCCCAGAGGGCATCATTTCTCTATGACCTCCTATGTGCATGTATTAAATCAGTTTTTCTCCTATTAATCTGGTCTTGTGTCAATTTTACTAGAACCATAAGAAATTGAGAGGGTTAAGGAGAAAATTTCTCCCTCCCTGACAACACGTTTCTATGTTTTACAAGTTTTCCACAGTGACTACATGCTACTTTTGTAATTTGGAAGGAAAAAACCAACTACACTGATAAATATATTAAATAACACTTATAAAAGCTACAGAATAATGTGAAAAGGAAGTGTATATGTATATGAATACACATACATATATGATTACAATTATTTTTTTAAAAATTATGCATAAGAAAAGAAAAAAAGGTTGGTAGGAAATACATCAAAATAACGGTGGCTGCGTTTTAAGGATGAAATAATTATGAGCAATTTTTTTCCTTCTACTATTCTATGCCTTGAAATTTTTCATTAAAGAACACGTATTACATTAATATTGAAAAAAATTACTGTACTTATCAACTCTGACCCCAAACCTTCTGTTCCACCATATCCTGCCTCCTAAAACAAACCATCAAACAAACACATGCACACAAACCTTCAAGTACTTACAGGGGCTTACATCTCTGTATCTGTTTCGATTTCTGTTTTCTGGAAACTTGGCCACTCTATGAGGATAGTCATGGGATTCATTGCGAATTTCCTTAAAATAACAAAAATATATTTTAATATATCTCAAATTTTATACAGCAAAACAGATACTTTCCCAGCCAGTACAAAATAATATTTATTGAGCACTTACGATATGCCAAATACTATGCAAAGCACATTATCTACATTATCGCATTCAATTCTCACAACACCAATGGGAATGGTTATCTTCCCCATTTTATATGTGAGGGATGATAGGCTTTGAGAAGTTAAATAATCTGCCAAAGGTCACAAGTACGTGGCAGATCCCAGGACTGAATCAGGGACCTTCAGACACCAAAGTCTCTGCTTTTGATATCTTTATTTACTGCCATGATATATTCAACACCTACAAGCATGATCAAACACTTTATATAAGAGAATTAATGCAATGGAGGTATCTAAGGTTAACCACATCATACTCAAATTGCTGACCAAACTCTCTTAATCTACCTGTACTTTGGAGTTTCTATCTTAAAATTTTAATCTGTTCCTTGATCTTCATGGCATTTAACTGGTACTTTATTTTGAGCTCAGAAATATCCTAAAATTTTATTTCTAGAGCCATAAATACTTAGCAACAATCACTAGGCCTCAGGCTCATTTTAGGACACTTATGGTTCTCTGCATTCTACTACGGAGGAGATTCTGTGAAAGTATGCCTGCACTAGGCACTCAGCTATCTAGTGTATCCACTATGACCAGGTTTTTTTCTCCAAATTGGAATACTATTCTAAGAATTCTGGTAAAAACAAAAACATACCCCAAAAAAGGTGTGTATTAACAGCAAAAATTATTTTGGGCTTTTGCTCACACTACCACGTGTGAGAAAAAGCATTTTAAAATTTAGGTACCAGACAGTTCTATAAATTAAGCATAAATTACTCAAGTCATTTCTTAAGGAATGCCCTTATAGTTGTTTCCTCATCCTCTTGCCTGCCACCACTCCCACCAGCCCAATGACAGGTAACTTTCTAGTTCATATTTTTAGCCAGTGGGCTTTCCAAGATGCTAGAGTAGGGAACACAGACCACCTCTCAGTGGGAGGAATCTCAGTCACAGTGTGCAAAGAGCAAGTGGGATTAAACATACGTTGGTACAGCCATTTTGGAAAACGCAATTTGCCACACAGACAGAAAAAGAAACAAATACATACGTGCACGTTACAACTGTTGCTATTAACTTCTGAAAGCTATCTCACATCCAGCAACCTTGCTGAGCTCTCTAATATTTTGTAGCTGGTTCTGAACTTCTTAATATGAGCAAAAATTGATAATTCTGTCTCTTCCTTAGACTTCATATTTCTTATTTATCCTTACCTCTTATTTTTCTTATCTAATTGCATTGACTAGGACTTCCTATTCAGCGTCAAATAGAAATATTTTTTCCTCTGATTTTGAAAGAACTGCTTCTAAGGTTCAATCACGAAGTGTAATATTTGCTTTAGGTTTCCAGTCAACACCCTTTATTAAAAACAATGTGATGAACACCCTTAATTATGATCATACATACATTTCAAAGTATTTCTTGATAACCCTATAAGAATGGAACTCCCGGATCAAGGGCATATTTTACCAATATTTCTCAAGAAGGTCTGGGAATGAGGTTTTGTCTCACTCTCAACACCAGTTGGACTAAAGTCCTATCTTTTTTTTGTCCTCAAATATTATCTTGATTTTTCTGGACTGTTTACTCTTTCAGACAAACCTTAAATTTAAATCTTCTTTAGGCTGAGTTTTTTCTAATTACATATAAATATTACACATATATGTCAATTCATGGAGGACTGACAGCTTTATAATACCAATTCTTCCATCAAGAACCAGGTATTTTTCTTCATTTATCTAAGTCTTCCTTGTCGCTTTTTTAATTTAAATAAACCCAACACATTTCTTGTTAAGTTTACTCTTAAGTATTAAAAATTTTTTGTTGCTGGGGCTGGCCCCGGGGCCAAGTGGTTAAGTTCGCATGCTGTGCTTCAGTGGCCCAGGGTTTCACCGGTTCGAATCCTGGGTGCAGACATGGCACCACTCATCAGACCATGCTGAGGCAGCATCCCACATGCCACAACTAGAAGGATCTACAATTTAAAAAATACACAACTATGTACCGGGGGGCTTTGGGGAGAAAAAGGAAAAATAAAATCTTCAAAAAAAAAATTTTTTTTGTTGCTATTTTAACTGACATCAACATGACTACTTGTTTTTTCTCCTTAATCTATTACGGTGAATTACAGAATCACACTCCCTCATATTGACCATTTTTATATTCCCAGGATAAGTTTGGGAATGGTGTTTATACTGTATTTCTAGATAATATCGAAACTGAGGATGAAGGAGTTAAAATTTCCCTGGATTAGGGTGAAACCATGCCTGGTACCCACAAGGTTAACTTGGGAAACAAATAACCAAAGTTTCTGAGCTTGCTTTGCAGAACAGAAGGAGGACCAGTGATGACTGAGTAGCTTGCTGACAGCCCGTGCCTGATTAAGCATCTAGCAGGGGCACTGAGAAGCTACAATGACTGTAAACTTTAGCCACACACTTCCCCTTCCTTCCCTAAAACCCCAAAGAAAAACCCTTGCTTGTAGCTTTTCGGGGAGTTCAGGATTACAGTGTTAGCTGCCCATTCTCCTTGCTCAGCGCTTTGCAATAAAATTCCTCCTTTCTTCCACTACACTTCGTGTCAGAGATTAGCTTGCTGCGCGATGGGTGAGGGAGCTCACTTCAGGTTTGATAACAGTATTTGTTGATGATATATTAGAATTTTGGAAGGATAATTGTAGGTCAAATTGAACTGCCTGTTTGCAAGGGGGAAAGGAGACACTAACTCATTTACTTCTGCTTTTCATTTGTATTCGATCTGTCCTTTCTAAAGCTTTGTTTCATTTTACTGTTATTTTCCTAGCTTAAATAAAATGCTTAGTTCATTAGTATTCTTTTTTTTTTCTTGCTTTAATAAAGACTGGCCAAATCCTCTAAGTTTAGAATACTGTCATCTCATTATTTTCTAGAGTCTCTAATGGCAGTACTGATTTCTTCTTTCATCCAAAAGTGATAAGACCGCTGTTTTCTACATATTATGCTTAATTCATTTTCCCCATTTTTTTTTTTACTGTATTAATCAAGGTTTTCTTTGTTCCTCTTTCCCTCTAGTAATTTAGAAGTAAAAATATCATTTCTATTCTATTGGAGATTAGTCTTAAAATTTTGTAAAAAGCACATTGAACTTGTATTTTTCTACTAATAAAAGCATCTACTAATAAATCTCTATTAGTAAAATATATGGTACAATTACCATGGGTTTTACTTTCCTCTTCCTACAGCTCAATCCTCCATATTTTCTTGAAATAATCCAAAACTTTGGATACAGAGTTTTTTAAATTTTCAATTACTTCAAAAATATTTCTTAACATTCACAACTTAAAGTTCGCAACCATAATTATTTAGAGTTAACTCTAGATTCTACTTGGCTTCACTGACCAAACCTACTTTCTATATCTATTCCATTTCTCACAGCATTTAGGTGACGCTTCTTCATTATCTTCAGGCATCCAATACCAGAGTACATAAGAGTGATGCAAATCTGATTTGTTCTTCTCTAAAGATAATTTGTTTTTCTATGTTGCAGGGTTTTTTCTTTATGCTAAATATTTAGAACACTCATCAGGATGTGAGACTGGTAAACAGTTAGCCATTGATGAGTAGGTAGCTGGTAACTAGATTTTTTTTTTTCTTTTTTGCAATTACTGATAATAGCTTTTAGTTATTCCTCTGCCCACTGTTAACTGTGCTGTTTAGGCAATATGCTAGCTGACTCCAACTAGGTTCATATAGATAAAATCTCCCTGGTGCCTGGGTCACCATGGTAATGGATGTTTGAGCTGTTTTTCAGGAATTAGGAAGCCCCTGTCCAGTTCAGGCTGGCCGAGACCCCAACCCATCAACTGGGCCTGTGCAAATGCCTGATAAGTGACCTTCTGACATCAAGAGGCTAAAAACTTCACCCACAGATCATGCTAACACTGCCATTTTGTGAACATGTGTCCTATGAAGAGGCATGAAGTTGGTCTGTGCTTGCACAGATCATCCATTACCTCACTTCTCCCATCATCTATCTCCACATTTCAAACCACCTTGCCCCCTACCCCATAAATATCCCTGAGTCCCCATTTCTGAAGAGATGAATTTGAGACTCATTCCCCCACTTCCCCACTTTGCTGCCTTGTGATTAAAACTCTCTCTGCTACAATCTCGTCATCTCGGTGTTTGGCTTTCTGGGTTATGGGCAAAAACCAATCAGGTTCAGTAACAGATGCACCTAGGTTTTTATGCTTTTTAAATATATTCCTGGTGAAGACTTTGCAGTCCCCTTTGATCTGGAGGTTCAAGGCTTTCTTCAGCCAGAGATATTCTTCGGCTTTTTCTTTGGTTATTGCTTCATCTCAATTTCCTCTGTTCTCTCTTTCAGTAACTCCTATCACAGAGATTTGAGATCCTCCTTCGTGTATTTTAAATGCTCTCTCACAATATTCATTTTTAAGATCTTTTTCCTGAATGCGCAAACATTTTTCTCAACCTCACTTGGTATTCTGCACTACCTATTTTGCTAGAGAGTCCTGAACTTTTAAACAATTATTTTTTATAACTTTAAGACTTTTTCCTGTTCTCACTTTATCTTTACAACTCACTCTTGTCATTTTGAGAATCTGAATTTCAATTTTCTCTATTTCTTACACTATTTTACATGTTCTAAATGATCGAACTAGTCTCATTTTCTTGAGGTGCTGAATTTTTCACATTTTGTAACATCATGAATTTTTCAGAATTTTCTAACATTTGTTTGTTCATCTTTACAGAGAGAAAAGTGCAGGCATCAGCCCTTACCCACGCTTTTGTGGACGCTCGCTCACACTGTTTACTACCAAAATCCTCTAAGTCTCATACACGTGGGTGAGACCTTCTCTGGTGTCAAATAATAATGTAGATTTTTTTCTTATCATTTCATTTTGGT